TGTGGGGAAGGTTAGAAGGCTGGTTGCCTGGCAGTAGGTCTGCAATAACAGCTGGAACATGCATGTGGTGAATTAGCACCAGATAACCTCCCTCCACCACTCCTTTGACTTCATTGTTACTGCATGCTAGCAAAGTGGAGCCATTAAATGTCTGTACAGTAGACATTTGCTAAACCACACATTTACAGTAAACAGATTTGGGGGTCTGCAGAGACCAATGAGATTCAGCTAGTGGCAGGGCTGATCTAGATAAGTGTTTACAGGGTGCCAAGGAAATTTTGAATAGGGCCAAGGGCACTTCTTGAAAATTGTTAACCCCACTCCCTAGTCCTTTTAGGGCAGACAATGGCAGTCATGTGTTCTTGGCTTCTTTCAAAGGCTACCTGTTATAGAGGGGGCATTCAATGAGACTTTTGTACCTAAGTACTTTAGGGTCTGATTTCTAAAGGCAGTGAGGTGCCAAAGGTGCACTTAGTCACCAGGGCCAAGACCCTGTTCTGCTGAAGCATATAGGTCTGATTCTGTTCCACCTGGCTTGGCTCCCTAAAAAACTTTTAAGGGAAACTCCTTCTTTCCACTGCTTTTTGTGACTGGTGAGTAGAGTGGCATTGGATATGGCCATGCTAATATTTCTCAAGAGTGCCTTGTTGGTTATGCACTGAACTTCAGATAATTTAAATAGGAGTTGGCAACCAGCTGGGTATCTGCATCTTCAGGTACTTAAATAAGGATCTGTTTAGGAACTTAATTTGAGGCACCTATTTTTAAAGTCTTGGACTTAAGCTCTAAAAAACAGCAAGGCATTAGAGAAGCAAAGGAATGAGTTTTCCCCATAAACAGTTGAGAAAAGGTCTACTCTGCACAAAGGCAAATAAATGAAAGTTCTGTCTTATTGCCTCTAATTGCTGTTTATCTACTTGTTCTTACACAGAACTAATTGTAGGCACAAATTCCAGCCCTAGCTGAAAATTAGTTGCTTCAGACAATTTTAGCAAAAGTACAGTGCTCAGAGACAGAACGCTATTCTGAAGTGCCCCACTCCTGCTTTTTCTTTCTTTTAAGCTCCAAAACTACTCTAGCTTCTCAATGTGTACTGTCAGGCTGTTATCGGCTATAATGGGTAAGCACCCAAATAATGGGTTTTGTTTTTAATATTTAGGTGAAATATGGTGTTTCCTAGTTAGGAAGACTTACTGGTGAAGTAGACTAAAAGAACATTCTGCAAAGCTTAAGCTGCACAGACTAAGGCTGCATAAAGACATTCAAATGATTTGAAAAAAGTCTTCTGAGCTTGTTTTCCTGGTAGAAAAACTTACCTGGAGGTGCTTTGAATACTGAGACTTTGAAATGGAGTCCCTGAAGAGCAGAGAGCTTGCAGTGATGACGCTATGTACTGAAGGGAACCTGTACATATGTATCAGCCTACTCTGCAGGCTCCCTCTTTCTGCCTGGAGACAGATGGCAGCAGTGCACAGGGCAGCATTGATCACTTGGCCCAGGCTGCTAAGGGTTAGCCTGCATCTCCCTACTTCACAATGTGGAAGAGGCATGCGTTCTGTTCCCTGCTCAGCTGAAGCAGTAGAGTCCAGCAAGTGACACTGTCTCCCTGGGGGGAGAGGTGAGAACAAAGTGCCTTGGGATGTTGGAAGACTGTGCTGTGGCTTCTCTTAGAAGAGAATGTGTGCAAACATTCACTGTCCCAGGAAAAACTCTCCCATGAATTATTTTAATTCTGGTTGTTCCTGGGTTATTATCTTGGAGTAGCCATTTTTGCTCTGGAAGAAAAATTCTGAATATCTGTGTGCTCATGGTTTCTCTCCCAGGAAAAACTGAATATCTGAGAGGGGCCTCAGAAACCTGATTGGAGCAGGTTCAGGACACTGGCAATGTCTATGTTGCAGAAGCTTGTCATAAGTCATGTTTCAACCGGTAAGGGATCTGGGACAGAAGTTTCATAAACCAGTTTGACCCAAATCAGTTAAATCTGGTTGAACATAGTATCAGACTTATCTTAAACCAGTTTGTCATTTTGAAACTGGTTTATGTGCACTGAGCTTCTGCCCTGTTACAGGTTTAAACCAGTTTCAGATCACAAAACTGGTTTATGTGTAACTTCTGTCCGTAGCCTAAGTTACTTTAGTGAAAATTTGTGGGATGTGGCTCTTGGAACAGAAGTAACTTTAGTTTGGCTTTTATTTGGCTGCAATTCTTTTGAATAACTAAACTAGTTAAATTGCATTCCAGATTGCAAAAAAGCCAGCCTTTAGATATAGAGGAGTAGTAGTACAACAAGATGAAGATGCAGCAAACATGATCCATGGCCAGCTGGTGTTGTAGCAAAGGGCAGAGGCAGGTTACAAGCCAGTGCTTGCATAAGGTGGGTGTCTCAGCAGAAGCATAGGGCAATTCAGTGCTCTTGAAAATCCCATGCTTAAGTTTTAGGGTTTTTTGTTTTTTTTTTTAAGGAAGTTGGTTGTTTGAAGGGCAAGCAGAACTGAACTAAACTGCACACAACTGGCGCCAAAATCAGGTTAAGAACATAAGAAGTGTTATACTGGCTCAGACCAATGGTCTACCTAGCCCAGTATCCTGTCTCCAACCAGTGGCAATAGAGGATGATTTAGAGTAAGAGCCTAAGAACAGGACATATCTAGAGTTATCCCCTGTTGTACCCTTCCTGACATCCACCATCATTGCCTTAACTGTAAGTAAACTTGTAAAGGTTATAAGTAAGCTTAGTGCAAATCCCTCTAGACACATTCGGACTGGCTGATAACTAGCTTGAAATTGAGGCTTTTAGGTTGTCCACAGCTTGGTGTGC